CCATCTACAATTATACCTGATACAAATGCAGCAATCTGTTGAATGCAGGCAGGGCAATGACTGGGTCCATCACCATCATTGCCTTTAAAAATGTGCTTAATGTTAGCTTCTTCTTCACCAGGGGTGTCAAACTGCCAGCCTGTGGGCCGGACACGTCATGAGGAAATCGCGCCCACCCCATTGCCAGCAATCGGGAAAAAGTTTGATGTCTGTTCTTCACCATCCCCTTCCTTCATGTAGTCATGACCTATAGTCTTGGCAAGACAACATTTCCTTGCTATTTTAGTAGGTATGTGGGTGGAAAAATTGAAAAACTAAGCCAATTGCAGCTTCTTGATTTTTTTTAAAGCCTATTACAGGACTTAAGATTCTCAAAAGACTTGAAACAACAGCACTTGAAATAGCCCTATTTCATCTTAAGCTTGGAACAAAACTAGTATTTTTTCTTCTGAGTTGAAAATGCTAAAAATACATATTTTATCCTGAGCTCAAACCACTTGGACCAAGTTCCTGGCCCAACAACGTTTCTAGGAACCCTTGAGATTTTCTCCTTTCCCAGCAAAGTGTTTTCATTCCCTTCTCAAAAAAAAATCACTGTCTCTACAGAATTCCTCTTGCTGCATTTTGAAAACAAGGTGATGAAAGTTGCTATCTTTGCATGGGAATGGGGCTGCTCTAAGGGGAGAGGAGGGAAGGGGAGGGGAGGGGAGGGGAAGGGAGGAGAGGAGAGGAGAGGAGAGGACAGGACAGGACAGGAAAGGAAAGGAAAGGAAGGGAAGGGAAAGGAAAAGAAAGGAAAGGAAAGGAAAGGAAAGGAAAGGAAAGGAAAGTTATTCTTTCACAGCCAAGAAATAAATGTCCATGGAGGCACAGAAATCTTCCCCCCCCCCCCGCACCGAGGTTTGGCTAGATGGGAGTGGACAATCTAGCAGTAGGCCAACTGAAGACCTGAAGGATGCCAATGTCTTTGATCCTTCTCATCCACACAAATTATGATGATACAAAACAATAATTTCTAGTCAAATTTCTTGGACCTGATTTCAGTTTGCTTCAGCAGTAGGCTGGCATCCATTGTGAGGGCATAAATGTTCTGCGGTAAGGCAAGGATGGGGTTGGGGCTGCTCTTTCTCACAACATTGTTAGGACAGGATAAATCAGAGGAGGAGGAGGAACCACATTGTATATGCAACCTGACTTTCCTGGGAAAAAGATGTTTTTTTTAAAAAAAATCATTTTTTAGTGCAGCTAGAAAGACAGTTCTAAAATACAATGAAGCAAATTCTTTTATGGCTTAATGTGTTACAAACTCATTTAATTGTAATTTGTAAGTCATATTATAAACCACTATTAGTTTAAAAAAAACACAATTTAGTATGATGCAATTACCCAGCCACAGTCAGGAAAACAGGAAAGACAGACAGACAAACAAGATTGGTTCGTTAAAAAAACACTGAGTTGCACAGCCTATTCTATTTTCTGCAACTTTCCAAACAATTCAATCTTTAGATCCTGCTGATCAAAACAGGAAGGAAAGAACAGATGAGAAATATAGGCAGTCTGAACCACACTGGCAAGCTTTAGTCAAAAATTTCCCATCTGTTACAAGTCATACTAAAGCATGGCCCCATTCATAAAAAAAAAACTATGAAATGAGGACTGGAGGGGATTTTCATACTTGAATGTTTGGCAAGGGGAAAAAAATTGTACAATGAGCTTTGATCTTATGCTGAATAAATTTTAACATATTCTTCTAATAAACTAAAGATTTATATTCACCTCCTCGTATTACCATCATAAAATAAAAGGAATTAGCAAAGAAGTTGTTCGGAAGGAGTGGTGTTCATACAGTTCTGAGTATACTTTTACCTACTGAACAGCCTGTCAACTGGATTTCAGCCTTAAAGTATCTATTTTGCCTCATTTCCAGCACTGGAGTTGGGTGGTCAATATATCTGAATGAATGAATGAATGAGATACAGAACAATGAGATGTAGAAACCTGATATTAAAATGGCTAATTAACAATAAGCAAGATTAACTCAAAAGAGTAAGTAGCTCTGATGTTTCTCTTGGTTCTGCCTACACCCATATCACATCTCTTTACTGTACATTTACAAATGACTATGCTATAGTATAAGATGCAAAACAGTGTGGGGTGGTCTGCACTGTTCTGAAGCATATTAACTATTCATACCATTTTCTCCTCCTTCTCTAATGACCTGCTGATGCTAATACGCCTAAATACAATAGGAACAGGCAACATACTAATGTAATCTCAAGGAATCCCATGAGTTGCTTGTTATTTGATCTGATGTCTCAGGTCATTTTTTCCAATCTGATGCTCTGAGAATGTTCTAGGGCTAAAAATTTCCATACATTTTAGTTTGTTAAGTTTCTGGGTGGAGCTTGGAAGATGGAGAACATGCAGAGAAAGTTGATAGTCTAATCCACAGGTGTCAAACTTGATCACATCACGTGACGTATCATGACATTTTTTGCCTTTGTGCAGCCGGAATGGGCATGGTCTGTGTGTGACTGTTTTTTAAAGCATGAAAATTCATATATATGTTCATACACTTTTTCCACAACAAAGTCATCATATACATCTTTCCTTCAACATATTTGGCACAGGCTTTCCTTTTGTGTGCTAATGTCTCTAATATATGCATTGTTCATGCAATTTTGAACTAAGAACTAAGCATAAAACTTAGTACAGTTTGTTCAGAAAGTTCAAATACTATTGGTGAATACAGCAATACTTAAAGAAAAACATGCAAATATACCAGCACTGAAAGGCATCCTTGTGTCATTGGAAAATGCTCCGCATTATTTATGTATGGAAAAATACCAATAAAAGTGCCTATTCTACATACGTTTCCCATAATATTATAATAAGCTGAATCTGTTCTGAAATTAAATCTGAACATTTGTAAACAGAAATAAACCAGCAACTAGGATTGACCAAATGATTGCATAATGACAAACATTCAGTCCCTGTATAATCTTTACACATTAGGACAGTGATGGTGAACTTTTAGAGACCGAGTGCCCAAACTGCAAACCAAAACCCACTTATGCGTCATCGGGTGCCGGGTGGGTATGGCACATTGGGTGGGTGTGGGTCCATTGGGTGGACATGGCTGCAGTGGTAACAGCAGACTGGGTGGGACTAAAAAGTTCAATCAATCAATTCCAACTTTGCAAGATCTTTTTTTTCCCCGCAAGAAGTTGAAATTGACTGATTGAACCTTTTTTTTTTTCCACACGGCGGTGGAGGCCTAAAGCGAAAAGGTTTTATAAAACCCAGCTGAAGGCCTAGGACTGGGGCAACAGTGCACGTGCCTATAGAGAGGGCTCTGTGCCCCGCCTCTGGCACCTGTGCCATAGGTTCGCCACCACTGCGTTAGGATGTTACAGGGTCTTTTTCCTACATAAGCCACCATAATATTATAAACCTGTATTTAAGAGAAATGATTCAGTATTCAGGAAACATTTCTTTGGAAAGAAGTTCATCCTTTCTCAAGGGAAAGATGAAGGGCTATATAAATACCTGTAGGTATGTGTGTATGTTTATGAAACAAGAATGCTAATACAAAAAGTGCAGAGCAGAAATTTATGTAAGCTGCTCATTGGCTCAGTGTGGAAGGGAATGGGAAACACAAAATGTGGTTTAAAATCACCTCACAGAGAAATGAATCTGACCTCCATAAATCATACCTTGGATCTTGGAAATCCTACAGGAACTAATACTTTTAGAAAGGAAAAGATATCCAGGTCAATACCAAGAGCTACATTTCCCCTATCCTCCACCCTCCAGGTATATGATTACAAAGTCCATTATCTTTAGCAGAGAGAGGACTCCTGGACATGTACCATACTCTGTACTACTCCCCAATGAAGCCAACATGAAGTAGCAAAGACTTAGATGGCCAAAAAGCTCAGATTCAATCATGGTCCCAGGATCAGAAATGGCCCAGAAGAGCCAAATGTGCATTTGAGACATTAGAGTTACATGTTCACACAGTCTCTCATTTTGCCAAATCCACGGGTGTACATAAATACTTATTTGTCAGCTATTGATGAGATTACCCAACCTGTGATTAATATGTCTTTCCAATCCATACAAATAACAGTAATAACTGGAAGGTAATTGTTCTCTTTCTGCTATGTTTTATGGGAAAACAGGCACAGTTGAAAACAAAGCTTCACAGCTTTGATTAAACATCATGAAGACCATGGTTACTGACACATAGGAGAATGGCGGGGAGGCCATGCCTAAGTCTCTGTAGACTATCTATGCCAGGGGTCAAACTGCTGGCCCATGGACCAGATGCATCATGGCGAAACTGCACCCACCTCATTGCCGGCAATGGGGAAAAAGTTGCAATACATTGCAACATGTCACGTGACATTGCGAGTTTGACACCCATGATCTATGCCTTTAAATACAAGAGATATAAAATCAAAAATATAATATTCCTCATTACCATATGTCTATGCTAGGCTACATTATACCTATTATATTACTCTAGAATAATATTTCTCAAACTTAATAACATTAAGATGTATGGTCTTCAATTCCTGGAATTCCCCAGCCAGTCTTCTGTGTGGGAAATTCTGGGAGTTGAACACCACACATCTTAAGGTTGCTGAAGCTGAGAAACACTGCTCTGGAAACATGAACACTGGGAACGTGAAACCAGCAACTCCACAGAGGCAAATAGTTGACTTCCCATTGGTAATTTCCACTTCTCATTGCTAATCTTACTGGTGGTCTGCATAATATTATGCCTCTGTGAATATTGAATGGCTGCCTGGTTGCCTGTGGAGATAAGAAAAACAGAAGGTGGTGATAAATAAGAGGGAACAGAAGCAAGTGGCAACTCCAGAGAATGATGTGAATGACCAAAGTGAGAAAAAGGTGTGCTTTCATTTAATGCTCCTTATGTTTAGAGCTTCCCCTGTTGAGGTTGACAGTGTAGTCATTACAATGATACTCACCCATCTGCTGCAAGGAAGGGACTGTTGTCTGCAGTTTCAATTTGTTCTGCTCCATTTACTTTGGCTCTCATCTGATAAAAAGGAATACATAATGAACGTTGGTCAGCAGTGACAACAGGGAAAATCAAATGGCTAATTTTTACAAGAGGTAATGCTCTCCATTACTTTCACTAGCAGATCCTAGAGGTTTGTCTAGATATAGTACTCGTCTCTGTGGTTCATTGGTCTCCAGAGTCCCTGCACTATGAGTGGAATGAAGCAGAGGGATGGAGGGTTATGATATTAGTTTGTAAATACTGTATGGCAAGGACAAGGGGAAACAAAAGTAGGGCATCTATTGCTCCAGTCAGCCATGGCTTTTCTTGGGGGAGTCTGATTAGAAGAAAGATGGAAGAGATGCAGGAGTCATACAGTATAGCGAAGCATACTTTACAATTTTCTGATGAAGTCCCGTATCTTGCTTACCTTGTGAAGTATTTTGTTGCAGTTCCACTTGCAAAGGTAGAGTTAAAACTTGAGGCTGGGAAATTCTGCAAAAGCTGTGAGGGGGGAAAAAAAGTGTTGTTTATCAGCCCTTAATTTCTTATTTTCCTTAATTGTTGGGTATTTCTTGTTTTTATAGCATTCACTGCATGCTATGAGTGAAATATCTTTTTATTTAATTACAATAATATTTCTTTGACACTTTTAGGCCTTAAAACTAGTCTTCAAAGTGGCTTAGTTTAAACAAAACCAAAACAAAAATATTTGTTCTTGATTTCTAGACATGGCAACAAAGTGATAATGCTTCATGCTAGTTTTGATATATGCAAGTTACATTTACTGGCTAAATGCCAAATTGCACATAATGTAGACAGATCTGAAATAGATTTTATACTCTTTAGGAAATGCACTCATAAGAAGGAATTACTAATTTCTTTAGAATAGCTATAGAGAGGGGAAATAATTGTCTCCTTACTCTTTTCTCAGATAAACATCAGAGATGATTTAGGATGTAAAACTAATACAGTTTGGAAAATTTATTGCTATGGTTGATTGAAAGCAACTAACAATTTCTTACTACAGCATTAAAAATGGAGGGAAAGTATTACATGAGCTAAACACAATCATGCTGATTGTGATTGGCAATATATTGATGACCCTCAGCTGTACTTTTTAATTACAGTATATGCTATGATTGACTTTGATGGTGGCATGAAAAAAGACAATTATATGAGTTTTTCCATTTAATAAACACTGAGATTTGGCATTCTCTCCGCAGAGAATGCATGATTACACCATCCTTTGGACACTAATAAACCTAAGGTCTGCTTTCCCCTATTTCTAAATACTTCGTTTTCTCTCTTGAACATGTGGTAGACTCCAAGCAGTTGAAATTTCCGTCTTGATTTTCTCTTCTTCGTAATTGCCAATCTGACATTTCACTAATGCAAGGTGGATTAAGTGGCATCCTATTCTTTTCTTTGGATTTATTATTAAATTGTACAAATTCATTTAGGACGCATTTAGGCCATGAAGTTCAACCACTGTCTCAGGTCAACTTTAATCCAGATTAAAGCATCCCCAATAATCTAATCTCTATCTGAATCAATTCAGAGAAAAAGGATTCACCGCTTCACTGAGTAATTGGTTTCACAATTATTAACAGATTAAAGATAACCTTATCCTATTCTAATGGAATAGTTGACCAAGCTTCCCATTAAACACAGACCTATTGCTCATTACTCATTATTTAGCATTAAAATGAGAATTTAAAAATAAAATAACATGAAATAAACCAAAAAGGAAATTGAACATCTGTCTTGAACAACCTCACAATCTTTGTAGAGATATTGCCTACTAAAAAATAGGAGGAGCCATTTTAGTGAGCTATTTTTAAATGACCTTTTTCTGTTTCATTTCTGGATAGAACCTTCAATAAAAGCAGTTCTCTGTTCTTACATTTTATCTGAATTCAATGCATGTATCCTAAGTAGTAATAAAAACAAAGCAGCCTCACTCCCAATATTTGGATTAAAGGGGGGAAACCAAAATAATGTACATTATCCATTACTTGAACTGATAGTTCCTATTCATTATAATGAACTAGATTCAAAGAACACTAATACATAATTCTGCTAAATAGTAGATCCTTCTTTGGGGACAAAGAGAACTTCAAAGTACATTGTAATGGGTTAAACCTATCACAAAATGAAGCATGGGATATTTCTGTTCATGTTTCTAATCAGCAAGCAATGATCCTTTCCAGAATACATCATTCATCCCTCTCTTCATTATCTTACTTTATCATCCCAATAGTCAGCTGAGATTACCAATAACAGTCTTCCTTAAAATGTGTGGTGTTTGTCCCCATAGTTTTTTCCTTAAGTATTTTTTTAAAATTCTCTAAATATGGGCTTTTTCAAATGTGCTTTCTCTTTCTCACATCCTGATGATGTTATTTTGGCTAAATGAGCAACAGGACACTTACTTAGACAAAGAAAACAGAATGGTGGAGGACGGTATTCATGGGAAATTGTCCAAGCTCATATCAGGTGTATGCATATGGATGCAACTAATGTAATATAGATCCTACCTAAATCGTTCTTGTTCTGTGTTTAGTATACATTTAACAAATTTGAATGATGATGATGATTAAAAAGTAGTCATTCCTTATTGTCTTTATCTTCTCTGTCAAACCTGATATATAAAAATGTGAAATTCATAGACACATAAACAAAGTGACCTATTCCTCTGACCCTACACCCTACAGATATTATCATCTGGCAGAAATGACAAAGCTCCATATAATGCCACGGTTCAGTGAACTGAATTTCTTGATTTAAAAAAAAGTAGGTATAAAATACTGCATGGAAGCAACACATACAAATTCCATTTTTCCTCCAAGAGCATGCAATTAAGTCTACAAAATGATATAAGAACTAACATTAAATATCATAATGCATTACAGAAAGGAATATTAAGAAACATCAGGGGCTAATATAGCAGATCAAACTTGACTTCAGTAGAGATGTAGAGCCAATAATATATTCTGAAACCAGATATACTAGAAGCTATTTGTGCTTAAACCAATAGAACTACCTTTCAACACATTGTTCTTTTGTGCTTCTAAAACTAAAGGCGAGAGATTAAAATCAATGAATTGAGAGTGTTATAATAAAATCCTTAAAACTGATTAGGTTATTAAAATTAAATAAAGCTGTATGTCATCTATAAAAGACTCACAAAAGACTTTTGTTTTAATTCCATGATTATTTTTCTTACTGATCACAAGATGTTATCTTCACACATTATCTTAGGGAGAGTAATTCTCCTTGAATTAGCAAACAGCTCACCTGTATCTGTCTGATATTCCATAGCCGCAGATGTGTACTTGAGAGAAGATGGATATACATTTCCCAGAAGACTTTTAAGTATTTTTGAACCAACACTTCATCACCATCCTTTTGTAATAAATGTTTTGGTCTTGATCTTCAGTGCTGTACATGCTTTGAAAAGAGGGTTTTTTTGCATAATACTAGGTCATATGCAATAAATAATTATTTTAAATCAATATTATATGATTTATTCTGTTAAAGGTAGAGGGCAATGCCATCTTTTTAAACCTTCTATGCAGTTGTACAGGTAACTCATTTAGAATTAATTCCAAGTTTCAATCATCAGATATCAAATTGCAAGAGATGTGGAAGATTGGCAGGGGAGAAATTCTTTGCTTTTGGTCAAACAGGTGTTTAATTATATTATAATGTGAAATAGTTTTTTTAAAAAAAATCATATTAACTCTTTTTTTCATGATGTGCAACCATCTCAAATTTTGCCAATCTAGAAATGGTACATACAGAATAATGCTTAACTTCCACAACTAAATCTCTTAAGGATTAATGCTGTGTATATTTGTGTGCATGTTTGTGTGTGTGTGTGTGTGTGTGATTTATCAGAGCAGCAGCTTTTCTGTGGAACCACAGAAGTTGGAACCATCTGGAATGGTTACTATGGAAACAGCAGAAGATTGAGGGAGGGAAAGAACCGATGCTATGACAACCTTTGGGAGTTTCCCAGGAAACCAAAGTTGCTATGGAAACTGTACCGCTCAAATCCAAATTAGTAACTTCCGCTGCAAGGTGTGTTTGTTTCTTTAATCTTCTTGTGATTATCTTACATGCATTGAACATTTATGGAAATACCTCTTTTGCTTTTTGGTTTTGAAGCTGCAATCAAAATAAAAGCCTGTTAGAAATTTACTAAAAACTAAATAATTCATCATATTCAGATCATTAAGATATGATCCAGTTGGTCAATTGTTCAGTCTCACTGTGTAGGAAGAAGTAATACTACAATACTCAGGTAGCACTTCAGATTCAAAGTTGCAATTCTTTGGGAATTCAGGGATCAAAGAAATCCAAAATCACAATGGAGGCGTTTCCCTTGTTGTATTAAAGAGATACGACATATGTCATGGGCGGATTCAGAATACACATGGCTCTAACCTAACATTTTTTAAAAAAAGATCAAGATTGAAACCTCATACATCAGATTTTCAATTGTGGCCATCCTATTATAATGTGAGATAGTTTGTGACATTTATGTCTTATTCTTCTCATTCACTGAAGCACAGTTACTTTCATTATCCTTATACTCCACTCCTTTCCATCCAACAAGTGTACACGTAAAAAAAAAGCAAATCAACAGTGTAGCTGCTCTTTATAAAAATTAGACAAACACGTTTCTCACTAAAATCTCAATGCCCTGAAACAAACTGTGCAGAATAAAAACCTGTTTCCAAAGGGAGCAGCAACAACACATTCCTTGTGTTAGCTTATCTACCTTCTTTCTTAATATCTGCTTGGTTCTTGGTTCTTCTAAAAAAATATTTTATCTTCAAAAGGAAGGACCAGAAAAGTATATGTACTAAACAAGAGCACAAAGACTGACAATGATGCATGTTCCTCACAAATACTGATTTCGCAGACTTCCTGTGATTTTCTTTCAACCTGTGCGAAAGGTTTTAAACATCCGTAAAGATTTTTTTAATAGTCACGCAGTTGGGATTGTTTGTGCCAGAGCAGTTGTTTGTTTTAAAAGCAGCCTGTTTGAATGCACTGTTGCTGATGCCTCCCTCTTCTATCACCATATACTCTGACTTGCTGAGAGTGGAATTACTACGAGCTTTCTTCAGCTCCTCAGTGGAGGAGAGATGCTGGCAGCTTCCTACGTGCATGTACTGAGCTTGTTCTTCCCCTTCTGTTTCCCGGTGGTCAAAGTAGTTGAAGTTGGAGACAATGACTGGAACAGGCAAGGCAATAGTTAGCACACCAGCGATGGCACAGAGAGATCCTACTATTTTGCCTCCAATAGTGACGGGATGCATGTCACCATAACCCACAGTGGTCATGGTTACCACAGCCCACCAAAAGGCATCAGGGATACTGCTAAAACTTGAAGTGGGATCATCAGCTTCTGCAAAATAGACAGCACTAGAAAAGAGGATAACACCGATGAAAAGGAAAAAAATGAGCAAGCCCAGTTCCCTCATACTGGCCTTCAGAGTTTGCCCCAAGATCTGCAGCCCTTTGGAGTGCCGAGAGAGCTTGAAGATACGGAAGACTCTAACTAGCCGGATGACTCTGAGAATAGCCAGAGACATTGCTTGCTGTCCATTCCCCTGCCTCTCAGCCAGTTCAGTGCCCAAGGTGATGAAGTAAGGTATAATGGCCACAATGTCAATTATGTTCATAATGTTCTTAGAGAAGGTGGGCTTGCTGGGACAAGCAAAAAAGCGGACAAGCAGCTCAAAAGAGAACCAGATAATGCACAAAGTCTCCACCACAAAAAAAGGGTCAGTGAAGGATGACACCATAGATGTAGCTGGGGAAGAAGTATTGGTGAAAACATCAGTCATAAAAGGACTACTCCCAGTCCCAAATGTTCCTGCAGCACTATCATAGTCACGGTCATCTCTGAACTCAGGTAAGGTTTCTAGACAAAATATGACAATGGAGATGAGGATGACTAAAACAGACACAATAGCAATGCCCCGAGCTGGTCCGGAACTCTCTGGGTATTCGAAAAGAAGCCACACCTGGCGCTGAAACTCCTTCTCAGGTAGAGGTCTCTGCTCCTCACGGATGAAACCTTCATCTTCTCGAAATTTTTCCATGGCCTCTTCACCTAACTGATAGAAACGTATTTCTTCTGAAAAGATATCAATGGGCACATTAACGGGGCGGCGGATACGTCCTCCAGATTGGTAATAGTAAAGGATGGCATCAAAGCTGGGTCGATTGCGGTCAAAAAAGTACTCGGTGCGAAGAGGGTCGAAGTAGCGCATCCTCTTGCGGGGATCACCCAGCAGTGTCTCTGGGAATTGGGCCAGTGTCTTGAGCTGGGTCTCAAAGCGTAGCCCTGAGATGTTGATCACGACCCTCTCACAACACTCGTGCTCCTCTCCACCGGTGCCCACTTGGTGATGACTGTGGGGAGGCAGGGTATGGGCAAGAGGGTGGTCATAGCGCTCCCCTCCCAGCAGGGCATGGGGATGTTGGGTTTCATCGATCAGAGGGTCCTCTCCACCCACTACAGTCATGCCACCCTCCAGCTCCCCGTCCTCGTCTTCCTCCTCGTCCCCGTCCTCCTCTTCTTCCTGCCCGTCCTCAGGGGCGGAAAGCGTGCCTTCGGGGAAGAGCTGCTCGCTGTAGCCCAAGTTATGGTGGCTGCTTCCCACGACGCCGCCGACGCTGCTGCTGCTGCTGCTGCCGCCGCCCCTCGAATGCTTGCAGGAAGACGGGGCGGCCGGCGAGCGCAGAAGGCTCAGGTGCTCGTCCATAAATGTAACAAGAGCGCGGAGGGGAGCCTGTTTCCCCGGCAGCCGCCCAAGCGAGACCCCAGGCGGACGGCCAGAGCGACCCGCCCAGCTCCACGGCCACCGCCCGGCTCAAAACATCCTCTCAGGCTGGCTGCCGCCTCTCCCGCCTTTCCAGTCACTCCGTCGGCGCCGCCATCGCCCACGCGGTTGCCCTCCTGTAGGAGCGAGGAGAAGGAGACGAGCAAGGGGAGCGCTCTGTTCTGGAACGAAGGAGGGGTCTCCTTCTCCGTCTCTCCTTCGTGAGAGCGCCGAGCAAGCAGCCTGCTGCGCTAGGGAGACCCGGCGCGGGCACCCGCTTGGCTGCTATACAGGTCAAAGCAAGGGAGCAACACGTTACTGAGAGAGCAGGCGAGAGAGGGAAGAATGCAAGAGTCCATCCCGTGGGCGGCGACTGCGATTGTAATCCTTACTTTGCAGTAAGTCCCTCTGAGTCTCGGTGCCCAGAAAGGGTTACCTCCAAATATAGGCGCGCAGGACCGCGTTGGGTAAGCGTCCCCTTCCAGCGCATCAGCTTCGGTGCTTCTCAAAAGCCCGCGCCCTTTCCTTCCATGTAGGGGACGTGAAAAACAACGGGTGGTTGAGTAACAGAGGTTCGCACCTCCTCGGGATGGCCTTCTAAAAGAAGCTTAGCCCAAGTCTGCTTGCTACCCAACGGCTGTAACACAATAGGATCTGGTTGGAGACAAGGACGATGAGGCGTTGTCCTGGGGCAGCTTCTTTGCAAGGTTTGTCAGAGCTGGGTGGGCAGGCAATGACCCTTGCAAGGTCACACAGTCTGGAGGATGGGAGGGGGACCTGCCTTGCACTGCAGACTCTCTCCCAGCACATTGCTCTTTCATTCCCACCTGTTACAAAATTATGCTTCCTCCAATCAGTATCTTGGTTTGTGGGGGTACTGACTTTGATCCTGAGTTCCATTATCGCTAAATGATTCGTGGATTCATTGAAAAAAGATTGAGAGTTGGTTGCTGTCTGGCTATGTTTGCACAATCCATTGAATCAGAATAGAACAGCCAAAGATATTCTAGTCCGATGTTATTGTAAGAACCAAGGCTGCGTAGTTAATTTATGGTCCAAACACAGTGTCTGTATTACTGTAATTGTAGATAGGCTAAAAATACATTAGGCAGCTTATTCAGAATCCTGTTTTACTCATGATTAACAAGTGCATAACTTGTCTTAAAGGTAAAGACTCCCCTGAGTTGCGGTCTATTTTCTGTGGTCTATTTTCTGTGATCGTGTAGCTGTCTTAGAATCTATTGCCTTGTTCCAGGGTACTTTTATTAGACTTTTCTCTGTCTAATTTCTTGTTGGTCACCAGAGAAAGTATTAACCAGATCTAACCCTTATCCTTTTAGCTTTCAGCCAAAATGGTCTAGAAACTGCCATTTAGTGCGAGTTTTTGCCTAAAGCCTTTGTAATAAATGTCTGGTTTTCCTTAAATCTTCTCTACTTTGGGGGTGAAAAAATAAGCACCCCCAGCCCTCTCCTCTTTTTTAGATTAATCTCTATAATTGGTGACAACTTGCTGATAAAAGCAAAATTATATAGCTGGCAGAGTTATTAATTTGAGAGCATGGAGAAAAATTACGATATCCATGACTACCAGATATGTTTTAGCTTAATAAGGAATGGTAAATAAGAAGAAACAAGATATATTATATCAAGCGTGGAAAAAGTGGATCAGGAAAGGTTCTCTTTCATAACATTGAAACATGAAGAATGGGAAAAGCAAGACAAATTCAAAACTATGTTAATTCAATTTTAATTTTACTTAAAACAGGAAATCCCTATTGCAAGATAATGATTGCTGCTCCTTGACTATTTTTAAGAGGGGATTAGACACATTTATGGCAAATAATATTAGAAGTTACTATTGGTCAGAATAAATCTAAATTACCTCCAGTATGAGAATTGAAGGTCTCTTGCTATAAACAGGCAGGAAATATTGAGATTATGTTCAACTGGTGGATATCCAGGTGATATCCCCAGTGGGAACAGAATGCTGGATGAAAGATGCTGACGACTTTATACAGCAGATATATTGTTATCAAAATTAAAATAAATAAAATGCATTGGGTCATAACAGGCTATCCTCAGTTTCTTGGAATGTTAAAGAACTCTAAAAGGCTACTGGGGCAGGGCTTATCTTAGCAAATTCATGTTGATTCTTCAGTAAGATTTGTTTTTCTGTCTGTTTGTTCATTCAGTCTTTAATAAAACTTTCATAGCAATTCAGAATAAGCCATATGCTTGCCAACCTGCAATTTCCAATTACCTTTTAACAACTGACATCACACTCTGCATCATCTAAACTTTAGTACAGAGGCAAAAAAGAATGAATTGTGTTGATTCAGGTCAAATTGTATTGATTCAAGATGATACTATCCCTTCAGTAAGAACTCTCCCATAGTCAGTCTCTTCCTTTGGCTTAGTCTGAGAAGATATGACTCTCTTCTCCATCAGAAGATTGGAAGCGTGATCATCTTTGCTGCACACAAACTAATCAAGGACTATCAGCATTGGGTATCCCCCATCATGGATTATGTTGTATTTTTCTGATAGTGTAGAATAAGTACTTGTCATCGGTGCCCTGAACAATATATCTGAATTACACCAGCTTCTTTTTGTAGCCTAAGTTTTTAACTCTGATGACAAGTTAATATATTAAAAAGTCATGTTTTCAGTGAATTATACTCTGGAAATAAGAAACAATGGACAGGAACAGTCTCATATCACTTAAATTCCCTTTTAAGCTGCATACTTGTAGATAAAGATACAGTAATGTAATTTGAGTAAAGGTAGTCCTCAACTTACAGCCATTCATTTAACAACCATTTGAAGTTACAGTGGTACTGAAAAAAGTGACTTATAGCCAGTTTCTGCACTTAACCATTGTGACAGCATCCCTATGATCTACTTGATCAAAATTTGTGCACTTGGCAACCAACACATATTTACAATGTTTGCAGTATCCTGGAAAAACCCATTGGTGACCTTCTCAGCTGGCTTCCAACAAGCAAAGTCAATGGGGAAGCCAGATTCACTTAATGACAAGATAGGAACAAAGATTATTAGAACTATGGGGAATAAATCCCATAAGAAAAAATTAAAGAAACTAGACCACACTAAAAATTTGGGAGAGAACATGATAGCACTCTCTAGAGACTTAAATAGTTGCCATTAGAAAGGAGCAGCAGAAGATCTAGGTAGATTCCTCCTGAACATTATGAAAAACAGATTCTTAACAGTTACAGTACAATCGAGTATCTAGCAAAGTAGTGAGACTTCTTTTGTTAGGAGATTTTTCAAGCAGATCTTGGTCATCCATTGGGACAGCTAAACTTTGCACTGAGCAGAGAATTGGTGGGAAACACACAAGGAAGAATTAAAATGAGTTTAAAATTCAGAAGAAAAGAAATAAGAGGCTGGAGAAGTCAATTTTCCGGAGTGGGGGTGGGGAGACTGGGTAATATAGCTTTAGAAGGTACATATGAGGACATTTCTAGATAGACATTCCATCAACATAGGGTGATAGACTGCACAGCAGACAACTTCCCAGCCAAGGGAAAGAGAATTGAAAATAATATCATTTATCATTATGTCCATTAGACAACCATACACATGTGCAACTTGTTCTGCTTCCAATGCAAAGATCTAACTACATTTATAATACTTGATTATAGAGTAAGTATCTTCATTTGTCCATTAGTTGGGGTGTACAAAAATGTATCTTTTGTTTCAAATCAACATCTTATTTTCAATGGCATCTTCAATAGGGCCGAAATCATTGGAAACTTCTTCAAGTGTAGATAAATATGTCTCTCTCTCTCTCTGTATACATATGTGTGTATGTGTGTATCTGTATAAATCTATACACATACATACATTCTGAATATAGATATTTGTTGATGTCAGAAAGATTGCACAATAAATTCATTTAACTGGTTAAAAGATTGAAAGCATTTAATTTAAAGTTTAATTGGTATTTTAAATACAAAACAGCTATTTTCCATAATGCTTTGAAAGATCATCCTAAGAATGTAGCAGTAAATGTAATACTTTACCACTGAACAATGAGATTTGGCATCTAAACAGGATCAGCCGTTACTCCTCTCAAATTACACTGGGTTATTCAAGCTAAATGACTCCACTGACATTGATGAAGCATCTAGCTAAATCCTAACCATCCTGTAGATATGTAGAAAGTTGCAACTCACAGTACAAGAAGATCTATTTTAATACTCTAAAAGTATGATTAAAGCATGGGATTATGCTTGCCAAACAATGTTAATTCATATCCCGCTATAATAGAGATCATTTATAAGAACTACTATTACAATAGCAACAAAAGATACACAGTTACCCATCTGCAAAGCTCCTGTTACATACCATTATTTTATCATAAGGTAAAATATCATGCCTGCAAAGCAATTTAATACTAATCCACAGCTTTGCCATAGTTTATGCATTCACTGTAATGTAAGAACATTTCATATAATGATTATTTTGACCTTGAAACAATGTTCAGACAATATTTTAAAAGTTTGTTGGAATGATTCTCAACAGTACAAAAGTAACAAAATATTATTCAGTATGTTTGGGCTGTTACTACAATGTTCAGAATGCAATTTGATGTTACTCTGGCAAAGAATCAGATAAATGATGAATTCACCAATGGTTATATGAAAGCATTCATTTGCAATGGCTTTTTTTAATGGTTTGAAAACCACTCAGTTCTGGAAGGACTATAACCACAGTGTAAATAACTGATAAATAAGTTATTTACTTATTATTTTAAAATATGTATTATTTTACTTTTACTTAGTAAGAAGTCGAAATCATGGTGATACTTCTTGTAACACTTTGGAAAATGTTCATTCCTATGCATAGACAAAGAAAGAATATTGTCTTATGAAAGCAGGATATTTTAGAATAACCTATTAATAAAAGAGGAAAAAATGTTATTATTTTCATAGTCTATATTATTTTGTCATTATTCTAGCTTTGTGAGATGGACACTTTTTTCTCTTGTGTACAACCTGATACAATGTATAGTTGGACAATTGTGCACAACAGCAAATGATTTATTGTGCCTTCAATATCCTTCATGTCATCACCAAGGGCATTCAGATGACATACAAAAATAGAGTATGACTCTGAAATGTAATTATCCTCTCTTCAAAGAGAGGCAAAAGAAAACTGTGCCTTGTTTTTAGAATAATCATTTTCTCACATTTAAAAAATGGTAACAAGCTTTTATTTATTTTGTTAATAAGATTTGCATTGTGCAGCATGTTTAGAAATTTTAGGGAAGTAATCAACTGAATAAGAAGAACAAAGGGTGGGATCACAGGTATAGATAATCCTGAAACCAGACTAAGAATATCTAAGACCCAGCTAAGAAAGACACCTCGTGTGAAGGCACATAACATGGGATTACATTACTCAGTCACTGTATTTATATAAATCCACAGATGGACCCCTGGGAAACTTAAATAAAAGGGGAGTTTGCACAAATAGCCAGCAACAAGAACATTCATTCAGGAATGATCATTACCTTATTCTAAAATCCATTACAGCTGTTCTAGGATTCCAGAAATGGAGAAATCCTAGATTGCAGGAAGTGGCTCTTACTCCTTTTTTATTTTTACAGAATGCTTTACCTAGGACTGCAGGACTTTTTGCCAGGAGCCCCATTTCACTTGCAAAAGTAGAAAAGTCATGTTCTTCAATCCACTGGAAATTTTTCTTTTATAGTAATGAAAAAGCTAAACATTCCCCTGAGTTAAGTTCAACTCTTAATAATAATAATAATAATAGTAAAGTTGGAAGGGACCTTGGAGGTCATCTAGTCCAACCCCCTGCTCGGGAAGGAAACCCTACACCATTTCGGACAAGTGGCTGTCCAGTCTCTTCTTAAAAACTTCCAGTGTTAGAGCATTCACCGCTTCTGGAGGCAGATTGTTCCATTGGTTAATTATTCTAACTGTTAGGAAGTTTCTCCTTAGTTCTAGGTTGCTTCTCTCCTTGATTAGTTTCCACCCGTTGCTTCTTGTCCTGCCTTCAGGTGCTTTGGAAAATAGCTTAATTCCCTCTTCTTTATGGCAGCCCCTGAGATATTGGAATACTGCTATCATGTCCCCCCTTGTCCTTCTCTTCATTAAACTAGACATACCCAATTCTAGCAACAGTTCCTTATATGTTTTAGCCTCCAGTCCCCTAATCATCTTTGTTGCTCTTCTCTGTACTCTTTCTAGAGTCTCAACATCTTTTTTACATCGTGGTGACCAAAACTGGATGCAGTATTCCAAGTGTGGCCTTACCAAGGCATTGTAAGAGTGGTATTAATATTTCACGTGATCTTGATTCTATCCCTCTGTTAATGCAGCCTAGCACTGTGTTGGCCTTTTTGGCAGCTGCAGCACACTGCTGGCTCATATTTAGGTGATTGTCTACTAGGACTCTGAGGTCCCTCTCACAGTTACTACTCTTGTCCACATACAGGTAGTCCTTGACTTACAATCGTTTGTTTAATGACCATTCCAGTTACGACGGCATTGAAAAAAAATGACTTATGAACATTTTTCATACTTAATGACCAATTCAGCATCCCCGTGGTCACATGATCAAAATCACTTGGCAACTAGCATGTATTTACGATGGTTGCAGTGTGCCAATGTCATGTGATCCTCTTTTGTGACCTTCTGACAAGCAATATGGAAGCCAGATTCACTTAACAACTGTGTTACTTACGTAACTGCGATGATTCACTTAACTGCGGGGAGGTTGTAAAATGGGCAAAACTTACTTAACTGTTCTGCTTAACAATGGAAATTTTGGGCTCAATTGTGATTGTAAGTCAAATATTTTTTGTAGTTCTTGCACATACTGTATATCAGAGTAGTTTGCCACTGTCACATTCATTCTGCACTATCATTATCCTCCAACACTCACCCTTTCTTAGATCCATCCACCATCCTGTCTTCTTTGCTCCTATCTTATTGTGTCACTAGCTGACAAAGGTGGAACCAGAAAACAAAGTGAACTTTTCCTTTTTTTTAAATAAAAGTTTTTATTGAGCTTTATTGGGTTAGGGAAGGGCTAGGACAATGGTTCTCAACCTGTGGGTCGGGACCCCATTTG